CATAGCAGAAGACCTGGGAAACTCCCTGCCATACTTGTTGTCAATACAGACTCATTTCTACATCAGGTGAGGTACTTGCTATCTATGCAAACAAGGATGACAGCCATGCCCAAAGTTCTGGAACTACTGTGGCTAAACTCTATAAACACTAATTGCATTTCTTTGTATTCTGTAACTCTATGCTCCATATATTTATTTCATGGAATTAGCAGTAGTTTGAGCTGTAGAATATTACTGTGTGATCATCACCAACCACATGAAATATCCCTTAGTGTTCACCAGCACATACATAGAATGCTGACATGTACTATAAGTTGGGAGTTCATAATTCATATGCCCCTAGGCCTGTGTCTTCTTAACCTCTCAGAGAGACAAAATAGTATTCTCTGTTATTCCTGCTGTCTGTATGAGCATGACTCAACTTGCTCTGACAAACCTAAAACATTTTTAATGATCATACTCATCAACCTGATTGCGTGTATGCTCACCATGGATTCAGACATATGCTTCATGTTTTTCTCATCTTCTGGTTCTCCACTCAGAAATGAGCATCACTTTCAAAGGGAGTAACACAAAGCTCTCAGCAGTTTAGTTTATCACATTCTGGCTTTCCTCGAGTGCTCATTGTCTTGTTCTAGCACTGTTCTTTACAAGGCTTATTCCTATTTATACTCTCACAATCTACGTGTGTGTTTTCTCTTCTATGATAAACCCAGTCACTAGCAGCTATTTCTTCAAAAGAGATAGAAACCGTGAATATTCTCAGTCAACTCCTCCTACTTAGATGAGTTAAATCAGAGTCTTACTAACCTTGGTCCACAGGAATCTACTCTATCAATCACAAGAACTTAGAAAATGTATTCATTTTAATATCACACAAACTATCAAAAGAACTAATAAATACCAGAATAAAGATGACTAGCATCATAAAACAATTTTCAGGAAGAAAATGGATTTTTGGAGGGGTTGGATCTATTAGCATTTATTTTTGTGAGTCTTTATTATACACTGATGAGCAATGTGAACATTGCATATTCTGTGCTGATCGATGGCTGCTAGCAGGTGAGATTCCTTTCCATATATATGATAAGTTATATCTTATATTTCAGATTACAGTAACACTACATCATTCATCCATGTTTAATTCAAGTTCCTTTTTTTTTCATTATATTATAAGAGTGGAAAACCACACTAGATGTTATGAAGTTTTACAAAGTCTGAGCTTTTAACAGTTCCCCTCCATATAAACAGGTATTCATGGATATCTGCTAATTTAGTGACCATAGAGATTTGTTCAACATTTCTTTTTCATAAAAACATTAGGAAAAGACATTGGGGAATTTGGGTAATAGGAGACACAACCAGGTGACTAGAAGGAAAATTAATGTTAACCACCTGGTGGTTTGTTCCCATAATAAACTAATCCTTGTACTAAAGAATTTTGCCCAAAATACTGCATTATCTTGCTAAAAGGAGAACTATGGGACTAAAATCGTGGGACTTACAACTTGTAAAATTATTGGTGTCCTATCCATTCTAATCCCTTTCTTTTGCTTCCCTGGTTTATCAACATTTCTCCCTCCCTTACCACCATTTTGTGTTGGGTTGCATAGTCCTCCCACTCAAGTCTAACACACCTCTAATTTCCACTTTTCCTGTATCCCAACCCTCGTTTCAACTGGACTGGTGACACTTTCTGCATTTGTTTGCATTCTCCATATAGAGTCTTACTCATTCTCAGATCAGTGACAAATGAGAGGGTTAATACAGAGGCTAATCCAAGTTATCAGCAACCTACACTGTTAACTTTTTTCCTATTTGTGTATTTGGCAATATATCTACTGCACATCTCCATGAATATCTTTTGTATGTTAGTTTATTTTCATTTTCAGTACTCTTTAAGTAATTCAAAAAACACTTTCTTAAGACTAAGGTATAGGTGGTAGTATTCTCATATCAATACATCAACACATTAGGATTGAGACTGATAATAGAGAAGGCTAGCTATTTGATCTGAAGTTAATAAACTGCTTTGAAAAACACATACTGCAAATGGTATTTGTTTCTTAGGAGAGAGCAAAACAGAGAGAGAGAGAGAGAGAGAGAGAGAGAGAGCTGAGGAGAGGTGGCAGGAGGTAAGGAGGGAGGGAGGCACACACACACACACACACACACACACACACACACACACACACAGAGAGAGAGACAGAGAGACAGAGAGACAGAGAGAGCCTCCAGTGCCAGTGAATACATAGAGTAACTTTCAACCAGGCCTTCAGCTCTTGCCAATCCAGAGAGTATCTCTAGACTAGACCACAGCTTCAGCAGGACCTAGAAGCACCATGGCAACAGCAACCAGGCCCAGTTTTGTCTCATAGCAAAACAAAAATAATACCTTTAATTAGGATACAAACAGTGAGTATAACTGTGAAATGATGTTTACCTCCACCTCTTTATGAACCAGTATCTCTTATTGATCTTTGCTAAACCCTGAAAAAGTAGGCAAGGATTCCACTTGCTGTAGTAAGGATTGTTCATCCTATCTTTTTGTTTATCCAAAAGCCCCAATTACATGAATTATAGCAGAGTTATAAAAATTTCCAGTTCCATTTGAACTGTGCATTGACAGTGCATTGAGAAAAATAGGTTTTAGAGCATTAGATACTGTATCCTAAGAGGCCCGAATTTTATGAATTGTGCTTGGCCTCTTAGCAAGGATTAGTAAGGATTATGCATTTTCTTAACATGGATGGACCCAGACCTATCTTTTTTTTCAATTTTTTCTATTTTTTATTTAAATTAGAAACAATATCGTTTTAATGTCAATCCCACTTCCCTCTCCCTCCTCTCCTCCTGTGCCCCCCACTAACACCCTACCTATCCCATACCTTTCTGCATCCCAGGGAGGGTAAGGCCTTCAATGGGAGATCTTCAGTGTCTGTCATATCCTTTGGGATATGGCCTAGGACCTTCTGTGAGTCTAGGATAAGGGAGTATACCTCTATGTGGAATGGGCTCCCAAAATCAATTCCTATGCTAGGAATAATTAGTGATCTACTACAAGGGGCCCCATATATTTCCAAGGCCTCCTCACTGATACCAACATTCATGAAGTCTGGATCAGTCCTTGCTGGTTGGGAACCATGAGCTCCCCCTTGTTCAGGTCAGCTGTTTCTGTGGGTTTCACCAGCCTGGTCTTGACTACTTAGATCATCACTCCTCCCTCTCTGCAACTGGATTCCAGTTCAGTTAAGTGTTTAGCTGTGGGTATTTACTTCTACTTCCATCAGCTCCTGAATGAAGGCTCTAGGGTTGCATATAAGTCAGTCATCAATCTCATTATCAGGGAGGGGATCCTTAGATTGTTAGCTGCTGTCATCCTGTAGAACTCTGGACATTTCCCTAGTGCCTGATTTCTCTTTAAACCTATAATGCCTCCCTTTATTATGGTATGACTTATCTTGGTCTCCTCTATTCTTCCTCTGACTCCACCTTCCTGTTCCCTCATATCCTCTTCACCCATCCTCTTCTCTCCTTCTCATTCTCCTAGCTCACTCTCCCCAATCCCCATGTTCCCAAATTGCTCATGAGATCTTGTCCCTTTCCCCCTCTCCAGGGGACCATGTATGTCTCTCTTAGGGTCCTCCTTGTTTCAGAGCTTCTCTGGTGGTGTGGATTGTAGGTTGATAATCCTTACCTCTATATGTAAAATCCATTTATGAGTGAGTACACAACCATGTTTATCTTAATGTGTCCTATATTTCATTCTAGATGTTTTATAGTTTCTCATCTTCCTGTAAGTCTTCACTTCATTTGGAGTTGAATTTTTATGCATTATGACAGTGGGACAATCTCATAACACCTTGGTGATTTTACTCTGTATTCTCAATGAAACCCACATAGACCACACCATAATTAAAGGTCTCTTATTATATGCAACCATTTCAAAATCTAACTAAAATTATTACACTAGAGAGGAGTGTTAACAACACCCAAAACTCACTTTTTCTTTCCAGAATATAGCATTCCCCTGGTGGCAATTGAGAGAAAGGGAAATGGAAGCTATATTACCTATGGTGTTAACTCTACCATCTGCATACAAAGGTGACCTATCAGACAGCATGTAAGGGAGATTGGATCCTCAACCCATTCCTTGATATTGAAGATAGATATTTGAGAAAGAACAGGGCATCCTCCTAAAGTGTGTTATGTAAAGTTCATAACCAGAAATAAGCCTTAAAAATTGAATTTTCTTATTCTTTATAGTCTTTTGTTTACTATAGTCTTTTTTTAATTTAAATTAGAAACAAGCTTGTTTTACATGTATCTCTACTCTTATATTTTTCTCAATATTAACTCCTCACTCATGCCAGAGCATGGGGTGATGCATAAAGGCCCCAGTGAAAACACCATTTGAAAACTCATGGTGACTATTGACTATAAAGCTGAGGGACAAAGTCTCAAGTGTCAAACAGAGCAATGCCATGCCCTTTTTAAGCAGACCACTGTGTCATAGTGGGCTGCCTAAGGTAAGAGGAGTCAGGGGATGATCAACAATGTGGCCAGGGAAACATGGATGGAAAATTTAAGGGAATAGTGGTAGCTTTAGGCAAGAAAAATTGATGGATAGAGACCTGTCGGCAAGGGAAAGGATAAGAAACATTTATGAGGAAGACTGAAGAAAACAAATCATGTTCATAAAATGTAGACAAAATCTAATCTGTAAATTAAGCCACCACTTGAATTCTTCTCTGAGTATTTAGGAGTGGGCATTAGGGGCTGTGGCTTGTTGCTTTCTGTCTAAACACCTATCATGAAACACAGCCATTGATTTATTTTCCCTAGGTCAGAATCGAGCACTCATTGCATTGTATCATGAATCTTTAGCATGAATCCTATGAGACACACAAATAATTTAGCACACCATTGCGGTGAAAGTAATGCCTTTTATTAGTTAGAAGACAGATGCCCAAAAGCCTTCTTCATTTTTCTCACAGGTGACAGTGGTTCTCTAGGGAACAAGTAACCTTTGAGCACAGACAAAGGGCAGGAAAGGGGGCTTTAGTGGTACTTGTGACCCAGGGCAGTGGCCACACCAGACACCACCTTCTGAAAGGCAGCCTGTGCAGCGGGGGTGAATTCCTTGCCCAGGTCATGGGACAGCACAACCACGATCACATTGCCCAGGAGCTGTGGAAGACAAGACAGGTATCACATGATAGTAAACCATTTCAAATGGCAGTTGTGGTTTTAATCTTAAAATATATGCATAATGAAAGCTGGATCCTCCTGGCAAATTTTGATAAGCATTACTCTGTCTCAAGCAGAATTTATAGGCAAAATATGTTCCCAAGGTCAGAATTGAAACCTCACTTCTTTATATCATGAATTCTTACTGTGAACCTTTCTATGAGACACACAATAATTTAGCACACCATTGAAGTAAAAGTAAAATGCCTTTTCTTCATCAGAAGACAGATGTCCAAAGGCCTTCATCGCTTTTGCCACAGCTGGCAATTGTTCTCTAGGGGACAAGCAACCCTATTGCCCTAGCCAGAAAGCCAATTATCCCTGATACTCTTTAGAGCTGTTCAAGGAAGCAGGGAATCTCACTTATCTTCCTCACCTCAAAGCAAGTTACCAAGAAACACTTGAAAGAAAACAAAATAAACAAACAAAAAGAGCACATAATGAAGAAGAAATGCATTTTGAAACTACAACAAAAATAAAAGTTTGCTGGAGAAATAGGAAATGACAACATAGAAGAACAAAGTGAGAGGAAAAAATGACTGCCAGTGCAGGGGGGAGGGAGAAATAATCAAGCTTGTCAACTTTCCACATGGCACAAGCAGACACTGTCCTTCTAAACATCTCCCTAGGATCTCTTCCCCTTCCTTCTGATGGGAAGGTGAGCATGAAAGCCAGGGGATGGAAGCCACTGGCAGGAGGATCAGACTCACCCTGAAGTTCTCAGGATCCACATGCAGCTTGTCACAGTGGAGCTCACTCAGGCTGGAAAAGGTGCCCTTCAGGTTGTCCAGGTGTTTCAGGCCATCTGCGAAGGCATGGATCACCTTCTTGCCATGGGCCTTCACCTGGGCGTTATTCATGATAGCACTGGCAGAGGATAGGTCTCCAAAGTGTCCAAAGAACCTCTGGGTCCAAGGGTAGACAACCATCATCCTAAGAAAGAGAAAACAGGCAGAGGACACTGGAAATTAGTGCCTGTGGAGAGCAGACCTCCATCTCCATGCACCCAACTTGTGAACTGCCTTGTAACCTCAATACCAACCTGCCCAGGGCCTCGGCGCCGACTGCATCAGCGTTCACCTTTGCCCACAGGCCAGTGACAAGACCCTTCTCAGCATCAGTCAGGTGCACCATGGTGTCTGTTTCTGGGCTTGTGACTCAACACAACTGTGTCAGAAGCAAATGTGAAGAGCGACTGGTCCTGCTCTGCTTTATATGCCTTGCCCTGGCTCCTTCCCCCTCTGCCCTGTGTGAGCAGATTGGCCAATGCCAGGGTGTGGTGCTTCTGGGTGAGGCTTCAGTGATGACAGCCATATCTCTCCCTCACAGCTATGGCACTGGCTTAGGAGTCTGAACTCTGGGTGCTCCCTCTGAATAGTGTTTGTTCTTATACCTGCAATAAACACTATCCCTAACACATCATTTTTTGGCAACTTTAAATAAACTTAACCACCAAATTTGTTGTTAAAATTACTTTCTCAATTTTTTCATTATATAAGTGATAAATGGAAATGCAAAATTTAGAAGTGAATTTCTCAATGTTCCTCAGGTTGAATTCATGGAAGGACCTCCTTCTCTCTTCATGTTGCTCCAGAGCATGAAACACAATCATTAGCACAAATTAGGATGCCTCCATCATGCTTCTAAGTATGCCTTCCTTCAGGTTTCAATTCCTCCTGATTAGAAAACAAATGTTATTTTATTTGCTGTTACGTTTTCTTTCATTTTTATGTGAATGTTTGTGTGGTTTACTCATGTGTGTATATGTGTATTATCAAGTTTTATGAACACATGTGTGTGGGAGGAGTGGAAGAGGATGCCAATAGCTGACTTCAGGGAATCTTCCTCAATTGCTCTCTACCTTATAGAGTCAGAATCTTGCAAGTAAACCCAGAGCTCACAAATGTGGCTGGCTTGTATAGCCTGCTTCTCCAGGGATCCCATGTCTTGTCTTCCAAGCTTTTGAATTATAGGAAGGCAACACATGCTGCTCATGTTTGTGTGTGTCTCTGTGTGTGCCTATATGTATGTATGTGAACTTACCTGTTCCTTTCATTTTTACACATAGACAAATAATTTAAGTTTGAAAAATAAGATAAGCTTGAATTGAGCATATTCTGTGCAGTAGTGGTTTGATTCAATTTTAAGGTTCCAGAGAAGCAGAGAATTCTCAATTGTGAAAAAAACATTATAAAACTATTTAGAACCCAATGTTTTGGAACATTAGGAGAGGCAATTGTCTCAAAGTAGAGACTACATAGGGTTACATAAGGATACCTAACTGTTTTTCTCTGTGGCAATCTTCGAGTGTGCTTGGAGCCAAGTAGCTGGAAGGTAGAAAGGCATTCTACTGGTGACTGACTCATTCATTCATTCATTCATTCATTCATTCATTCATTCATTCAGGATTTGTACCTGTTAGTCCTTAAGTGTACTATATTTTCAATCACTTTCTTGACTGAAATTCTTCATTCCATAGCCTAGATGGAATATTTTAATTGTTGTTGTTTAGTCAGCTTGAAGCAAGCTAGAGTTATTTGTGAAGAGAAACTTTGGTTTAAAGAAATGTTTCCATCAGATTGCCTGTAGAGAAGCTTGTAGTGTATTTCTTGGTTAATATCTGGTGCTGTGGCGCACAGTCCAGGGACAATGGCACCACCCCTGAGCAGGTAGGTCTTGATGCTGTAAGAAAGCAGGCTGAGCAACTGTGAGGAACAAACCAGTGACCAGTGTTCCTCTGTGGCCCCTGCTTTAGTTCCTGATTCTAGGCTCCTGACTTGGCATCTTACTCTGACTTCCCTCCATGATGGAGCAAGACTTGAGAGGAGTAAGATGAAATAAATGATTTCTTCCCTGAGTTGGCTTTGGTCATGGTGTTGTATCAAGTCATAGAAACCCTAAGATATCCCACTCCCATTTTCCCTGTATGTTCAACTTGTCTACTTAGTCAAAATTTACATGTACATCTCTATAGCTCTTCCAATCCCTTCTTGCTTCCTGTTTTTATTTCCCCCATGTAATACACTACTCACTTCTCAGGCTAAAAAGGCCTTCTGTAGTTTGATTTCTTGATGTTAAAGGCTGCAATGTAAGGAAGAGAAACAGTATTTCTGATGTGGTGTTGGGATCCCTGCTAGGTTTTCACTCTCTTTTTATTATTTAGAGCTGATCTTTGTCTTCTGCCTAAACTGAGAACAGAACAGGGAAATACTTTTCTATTTACCGTGTTACTTTTCTATTTAAAGTGTTTCTAGACTTATGTAGGTGAACCACTGTCTAGAAACATCTTTTTTTTCTTCCTGATCATCACTAGCAACAAATATTCAATAGTAATGTCTCATGTTTTCAGTTCTAGTATTCATACACTATAATTCAGACACATTTTTCAAATTTTAAATTGTACTTCTTTTTATTTAAAATTCCATACATGTATACAGTGCATTTTAAACATGTCCTCTTCCCCAGCCCTTCCCAAACATTCCAACCTGATCTCCTTCCTAACTTCACATCCTCTTTTATTGACCTACTGAGTTCAGCAAGTCCTGGTCATATAACCATGGATGTAACTCCAACCACTGGAACATAGGCAAACTTCTAGGAACCACAACTTGACAAAAACAAAACAAAAATAAAAATGCAACTTCATTTCTCTCATTAAGTTACCAGCAAACAATAGATTCTGTGTCAGTTGGTGCTCCAAGAAGATTGACCTAATTTTCATTGCTCCCTTCTTCAGGTAGTCCCTCTTTCATTGATGGATAGATTTCTCCCCTCATTTTTTTTTATCTTTCCTAACACTTCAGTGAGTACAGTAAACAAAACTCACTAAATAATTTAGATTATTCTTGGCCTCATAGAAAAGGCTGGTTTCTTCTACAGCTTTCTGGAATTTAAGTAAGATATATATGCATCTATATTATTTTATGTAATATGTAACTTTTATATATTATATGTACTGATACATTTTTTCTTTTCTATTAATAATTAAATTTATTCATTTATTTATATCCCAATATCAGTTTTCCCTCTCTCTTCTCCTCCCATTCCATCACCCTGCCCTCCCATCCCCAAACCTACCAATCTACTACTCCTCTGTTTCTATTCAGAAAGGGGCAGACCTCTCATGGTTGTCAACAAAGGATAGCATATCAAGTTGAAGTAGGACTAAACTCCTCCCCTTGTACTAAGGCTGGGCAAGAAAACCCAGTATGAGAAACAGGTTCCTGGAAGCAAGCCAAAGCTTTAGGGACAGGCCCTACTGCCAACACTAGGAGTCCCACAAGTAGATCAAGCTACACAACTGTCACACATATATAGAGGGCCTAGTCAGGCAGGCTCTCTAGCTGTCAGTACAGTCTGTTAGTTCCTATGAGCTCAGATTAGTTGTATCTGTGGATTCCCTTGTGATGTTCTTTTTTCTCTTGCTCTCTCAATTTTTTAATTTAAATTAGAAACAAAATTGTTTTACATATCAATCTCAATTCCCTCTCCCTCCCCTTCTCCTCTCCCCTTCATGCTCACTCACTAATACCCTACCTATTCCATACCATTTCTACTCCCCAGGGAGGGTGAGGCCTTCCATTGGTGGGGGGGTTCAGAGTCTATAATATCCTTTGGGATAGGGCCTAGGCCCTCCACTGTGTGTCTAGGATGAGGGAATATCCCTCTATGTGGAAAGGACTCCCAAAGTCCATTCCTACATAAGGGATAAGTACTGATGTACTACAAGAGGCCCCATAGATTTCCAAGGCCTCCTCACTGACACCCACATATAAGGGATAAGTACTGATCTATTACAAGAGGCCCCATAGATTTCCAAGGCCTCCTCACTGACACCCACATTCATGGGGTCTGGATCAGTTCATGCCGGTTTCCCAGCCATCAGTCTGGGTACCAAGAGCTCCGCATTGTTCAGGTCAGCTGTTCTGTGGGTTTCACCAGCCTGGTCTTGACACCTTTGCTCATCACTCTACCTTCTCTGCAAATGGATTCAGTGTTTAGTTGTGGGTATCTGCTTCTACTTCCATCAGCTGCTGAATGAAGGCTCTTGGATGAAAAATAAGTTAGTCATCCATCTCATTATTAGGGGAGGGCATTTAAGGTAGCCTCTCCTCTGTTGCTTAGATAGTTATTTGGTGTCATCCTTGTAGATCTCTGGATATTTCCCTAGTTCCTGATTTCTCTCTAAACCTTTAATGGCTCCCTCTCTTATGGTATCACTTATTTTGCTCTCCTCTATTCTTCCCCTACACAACCTTCCTGCTCTTATGTCCTCCTCATTCTTCCTCTTCTCCCATTCTCATTCTCCTAGCTCCCCCTCCCCCATTGCTCCCAATTTGCTCAGGAGATATTGTCCCTTTGCCCTTCTCCAGGGGACCATGTATGTCTCTCTTAGAGTCCTCCTTGTTTCCTAGCTACTCTGGCGGTGTGGATTGTAGGCTGGTAATCCTTTGCTCTATGTGTAAAATCCATATATGAGTGAGTATATACCATATTTGTCTTTTTGTGACTGGGTTTCCTTGCTCAAAATGGTTTCTTCTAGTTCCATTCATTTGCCTTCAGATTTCAAGATTCCATTGTGTTTTGTTGTTGTTGTTTTGTTTTGATTTGTTTTGTTTTGTTTTTCAGCTGAGTAGTATTCCATTGTGTAAATGTACCCCATTTTTTCTATCCATTCTCCAGTTGAGAGACATCTAGGCTGATTCCAGTTTCTGGCTATTGTATGAATGTGCTGCTTTTGTGTATCTGCCTAAGAATGGAATTGCTGGATCTTGTAGTAGACTGATTCCAATTATCCTGAGGAATCACCACATGGATATCCAAAGTGGCTGTATGAGTTGGCACTCCCACCAGTATTGGAGGAGTGTTCCCCATTCTCCACATCATCTCCAGCATAAGCTATCATTGGTAGTTTTGATTTTAGTCATTCTGACAGGAGTAACATGGTATCTCAGTGTTGTTTTGATTGGCATTTCCCTGATGGCTAAGGATATTGAGAACTTTCTTATGTGTCTTTCAGCCATTTTAGATTCCTCTATTGAGAATTGTCTATTTAGATCTGTACCCCACTTTTTAACTGGATTATTTGGTATTTTGGAAACTAGTTTCTTGTGTTCTTTATAAATTTTGGAGAT